TGTATGGCTTTCCAAATTCTGGAACGAACTTTCCCTGCAAAAGGCCATCGATGAATACCTCTGGAATACTTTCACCATCAACGCTGCTGTTCCCCAGGTATCCATCCCTACAACCCTCTTTTTATTGTACATCAACGACTCATAATCCAATATAAGCCAATAATCCAATATATTGCTTTCCTGATGATAGCACACTTCATTTCATTTGGATTCCAGGACATCGGCTACGGAGGCGCATCTTCACCGGTAGCAGGAGGTTGCATATCTTAATGAAGATCTAGAAGTGATTTCGATAGCGATTCATATCCAACATGAATCTCCACTTTTGCACAGGTATCGCTCTTAGAGTGCCTTAAGGATTCTCCTGTAGTGCTTATGTTTTGTCTTAAAAAATTAAGTCCATCGGTTTGTCAAGTTGCCTTTTGTGAAAAAAATTGAATTGTAAACGACCACTTTATACAACAGTTTATACAAAAACTTGATAAATCATATCTGTCAATAATGAATCTTGACATTTCATTAAAGAAGGAAATCTTGTTCAATACATTCTCTGGAAGAATGGTGCGACTTATTGAATAGAATCGATTTCAAAGGCTATTGAATCTGTCGAGTCCAAACTTCGAAAAAGTAATCACCAATTGGGATTTTGACATGTGAACTGGATAACAAATGCAGGTGAGAAACGTTCGCGCTGAAGACTTTGGGATTCATTTTTGCGAGTGAATGAAATCGAATCAGATTTCTTTAAAAAGATCCCGCGGTAACGAAGAAGTATATAAGCGGGATTGAATTGTGAGCATTTCGGAAAAGAATTTTCCTTTGTGAGAAGACTAATGATTTCTTTTTCACAACAAAAACTGACGAGTAATTATTGGAAATACTTCTCTGCTATGATCGTTAGCGAAGATTAGTTACAAGTAGGAGTGGAAATTGACAGTACAATTAAGGAGAGTTTCCGAAAGGAGTTGAAGTGATAACAAGAAACAAAATCATTCTTCCCCAGACACTTGAGGGGAAGTAGTACAACTGATGACATGGAGTATACAATGAAATGTAGTGGGAAGTAAACAAAGTATCCAACAGAATGTGGCTTTTTGTGCCCATTAGATGAAACCATACAACACTCCAGTTTGAAGTGAGCTGATAATACCAATCACGAAAAATATTGTGCCATCTTTCTCTCGTTAATTGTCGCACAAGGGTGATGAAATATTTCAAGGTGATAATCCTGATCCATCAAACAACTCAGTGCATTCAACATTACTTTTTGTGCCGCTTGGGAACCACGCAATATGTCCATTTTTTATGGCTCCTCAACAAATATCTCAACTTCATAGGCTAATTGCGTTCTTCATCTTCAAACAATCTTGTTGGAACTCGTTTGTTGTGGAAGTTTGTACACATTTTCTCGTGGACTCAATTTTGGATGACCACGATTTGCTTGCCACCTGTTTTCCCAATGCCTCACATTCGCTTGAGACTTGACGACATACTTTTGTTACGTTGTCTGCAGCTTTCGCTATGATGTCGGCTATATGAACAGAGAGCAGTGTGATGATTCTTAGTCTATTTCTAATCAATGGACGCACGTTTTGGTTCTTTCCTCAGGCGGTCTTCTTATATGTGTGTTTCTATGTATATTTTCCAATATTTTTCAATTGATTCAGAGGAGCGGAAAGAACAAGAAAATACAAATGATAAACCAGGAGATTTTGCTAGAACAACGAGAGGAATATAATGAAGAGGAGGCAAATGAGCAGGAGCAGAAAAAAGAAGNTAAAGCAGAAAAAAGAAGAAAATGGAGAATGAAGGAATCAGAAATAAAAAAAATCGTAGAAATAGAAGAATGGGATGAAAAAAGAAAACAAAAAAGGTCAAGGGCATTTGATAGGTAAAGCTTTTCGCTCCGACATGAAATAGTAGCGAAGAGAGATAATGATCAGTAGTGGGGACCAGGCGGCATACGAATTGACATAAATTTCAGTGAATATTATCGAAGTTTTTTCACAACACCAAACTGTTATTTCAACACCTCGACACGTGTTTCGATCACCAAGTGATCAAACTAAATGTTTAGCTTGATCTTTCTCTTGAAGATGATAACTTGGTATGGAAACACGTGTTAAAATAACGGTTTGGTGTTGGGAAAAAACTTCAGTAATATTCATTACTACATCAAAAGTTCCAAACAGTGCAAGAAATTTCAATGTTGAACAACTCCAAATGTTTCGGTATCCAATGGTTTGCAGTATCTCATTACGCAGTAATGGTCGGTCGGTAGCCAAGCGGTACGGCGTGGGTGCTTAGTTCACTCACTCGAATTGACTACCGTATTGGTCGGTGGTTCAAGCACTAGTCTGAACGATTGAGCTTCACTTGCTATCGTTCAACCCGTGTTAGGAATCACTCGTTAAAAAGTAAGACCTCGTTAATCCTTAGCTCCCACAAGTTTCGACTTCTGAGAGTTGTCGTTCGTAGGGGTGCGACACCTGTTTAACGGAAAAACAGATTTTAAACAGTAGCACCCATTTATATATGCTGCTGTTGAAGTGATCGAATAGTGAAGAAAGCATCTTTGGAAACAAGAAGCACAATGATGGCGACATCAAGAGGAATAAGATGAAAATTTACCCCAGAAAGTGAAACAGCTTTAGGAATATCTTCAAAGGAAAGTGGGAGAAAAAGCAGAATGAATGCAAGATGAAAAGAAAGTGAGTTGAGAACTTAACGGAAAGGTCACGAAGGTAATGGATAGAAATTCAAAGAATAAATTATTGAATTTGAACATCAAATCAACCATAATCACATCAGCCAGCTAATCGTTTGGTCATGTTGAGAGTAAACCCATTTTAACAAAAACAGTCATACATTGACAAAATCAAATATTATTGTGGAAATACAATACTGACGTCAGTACTTTGAGGAATTTGATGTGAAGCAGATATTGAAGAAACATTTAATTTGTCAATTAAATAGGAATACCATCGAAAGTTAAACTGATACAGATCCTAGGGCTAGGCCGACTTCGGGCAAACCTCAGAAGTTTCAGATGAACTTGGGCGAGTCAATTCAAGTACCTAATCGGATGAAATTTTCAATTTGTTGAGTGTCCAAATATATGAGAATGCACGCTGAGAAGTTTCTGAAATCTCTGAAGTCTAAAGGGTAACACAAACAGGTCAATGATACTGATCCAGAAGTCATTGCAAGCAAGCACAGATTCTAGATAGGATAAGAATTCATTGAGATATTCATCATTGGTGTTCCCTTGACTCGTTGCTTTTTCGTGGACAAAACGTACAAAAAGTAAAAACTGAAATGAAAACGGTACAAAGTAAAAACAGTTCAATCATAGACTGTTTAGAAAATGCTACATGGAAACTAATTAATACAGTTTATTGTATGATTTTCACTATAAATAGTGAAAATCATACAATTATGTATTAGTTTTAATATGGATATTCATCAAGTATCGACCAGCTTTATCCAATTAAATGCCACATGAAAATGCTACAGAAAACTATACAGACGTCATCAATTTGTGTATCTCAAAAAAGACAAAAAGATAATGAAAATGAAACAACGTGGCTACTACCTAATCTTTTGATGAAGAAATGATTTTATTTTTGAAATATACTGAAAAATAATTAAATTTTCGATTTTGGGCCAATATTATTGAATTTGTTCATACTTTATTGATTATTCTGTTGTGAATACATAATACATGTCATATATGGCAACGTGAATATTTGAGTATGCAGAACATTATAGAGAGTCATTCCCAATTTTGAGGTTGAGACTATAATAACATTACACAGCTTCCTTAATATGAAATGTGAAATGTTTCTAGTTCATAAATTGTATATTTGTCTAGTATAAAAGACTTTAAACCTTTTAATAAAAACACTGAAATATCAATAGCAATAGGTCATCAACTGATTCTGAACAAGAGCGCTCGCTGATTGAACGGAAATAATAATTGATCTTCGAAATCTGTGAATATAATCTAATGAAAAAAAAAACGTTGGGTTTGATTTCTTCTCTTTCCACAATTTCAAGTCGATCTTTTAGATAATGACCAGTAGATGTTACTACTTCTTCAACTATTTATGCTAGACGAATTTTCACGAAGTTTATTGATTTAGATGTAATTGCTATTGAAAAATTCCTCAAGTTGAAATTATTTATTCCCCCTTCATTGAATATATTGTACTATTTGGAGAGATTACGTAAACTAAGTGAATATGAACTAAATAATTCATTCGGCATGTGCTGAATTAATTATTGTGTTTACGACTATTTCACTTAGTCATGATCGTGGGACAAATTGGTATAATATCTTCAAATTGTACTGTTTGGAACCAAACTATAATATTTGAAGTAGTGATTGATGGAGTTTTCAGAATTACGCATCAACCATCACTGGACAATGAGGGTGTTCTTATTTGAAGTCAAAGCAAAGCCAAAAACAGTAATAGAGAAAGAGAGATCGCAAAGAAATTTTGTTGCAGGAGTTGATGTCAAACGTGTTTTTATGAATGTGCAACATTACGAATGTGTGAAGAGGAACGATGGAAATTTGAAAAATGACGATGATGGGAATAAATACAAGACCAATGCATAAAATAAAATTTCAGTAGATGATGGTGGGATGAAGAAAAAAACTATAGATGTACAGTCACAAAGGATTGATTTTATATTTCAAAATTTTTCTAAAAGAAGTATCATTGACAAGTTGGTTGAATCATTTTATCAGTATTCAATATAAAAATCATAAAGTTTCTGAAATTTCAATGACTTGTACTCAAATTCAATTCAGGAATTCAAAAATCTTTTCAATTGTGTTTGGATCATAAGTCACCTGACTAAATTTCAATAATTCCACTTTTAATAATATATCAATAAAATATACCGTATACCTAGAAAATTAGTAAATACTATAAAAATTTCCAAGTAGTGGCTACTGATGTCGAATAACAGAGTAATGAAAATAAACTCACCTTATTTGCAAATAAAAGTTCAGTTTCATCAAATACTAGGTAGTACCACAAGAGCCACAAAAAATTGTTTATCGCGAATGAGGCGAACAAATTCATGTGAATGAGAATCCTGGCACATCTGAGAGATCTGAAACCAAAATAATTACATCTTAGTCGAATTACCGCTAAATTAGAAATTGATTTGTTAGGAATTATATGCATTTGCATATAGCAAGAGCAAAGTATTTATAAACCGATTTCAAGGATGCCTTTTTTTTTTTGAAACATGAAAAATATTTCATTCTGAATAGACATGAACAAAAATAGTTTTCTGAAACGTTTCGTAAATGTACAGTGTGATAATTTGAGTGTGCAACATATGTAATTTTGTTAAATAATTGCACAACCAAAATACAGATTGTGTATGTTGGTGTATGTTCGGTAATCATTTTCAGGTGTACTTAGACCCTTGTAAAACTTTTGCTTTAAATATCCCCATAAAAAATCGAACGGGGTGAGATCTGGCGAACGAGAAGGCCAACGTAGATCAGTATTTCGTCTTGACAGTTTATCATCAAATTTCCCATTTAACTATTCCGAAACAATTGTAGTGGAATGAGCAGAACATCCATCATGTATAAACCAAAATTTATGTCGTTTTTGAAAGCTCATATTGTCCAAAAAATCCATTAGTTCGTTTTCCAAAAACTGTAAATAGGTATTACCAGTTGGGTTGTGGCAGAAAAACGGCCCTATTAATTTTGTTGTTAATAATACTGCACCATATATTTGTTTTTTGATAATATTGGTTTTTATTGTGAATGACAAAATTTGGATTTTCGTCTGACCCCCACCTACAATTTTGGAAAGAGACAACGCCATTGTTGTGAACGTGATTCGTCTCCAAAAAGAATGTGTTTATGGAAATCATGTTGATCTGTATTTGTCCTTGAATTTACATGCAGATTGCATACCTTCCTCAAACCCTAGTATCGTTCTTGAAACGTGTAAATAAACATAGGCTTATAGGCATGATATTTATTTTTTGAAGAAACTTCTCAACAGAGCTTTGTTTTACACCCGTATAACTAGAACTTTCTTGTTTGGATCTTCTAGGGTTTTCAACAACTGCCTGAAGTACTTCTAATTGATTTTCCTCTGTAAAGACAGTTTTATTACGTTCATTTGTATTATTATAATCTAAACACCCAGTCTGTTTGAAATTATTTAAAATTCTGCTTACAGTGGCATAGTGAACTTGTTTGTTGAATATATCCCACGCATTGGTTTATAGTAAGTAATCTACACATATTAAAACTGATTCTGCCTTCTCGGATCACGATAATTGTCTTGGAGGAGGGCATTTAAAATCGAATAAACTCAATAATCGAAAAATAATTATTCAAGAATGAGAAGTTGATGCCACCAAACTGTCAAACATTTCAAATACAAAATGTTCACATGAAATGAAAGTTTTTGAATATGCATATTATCATTATTGATGTTTTACCTTGTTGAATTTTGTTGCAACAAACATGTGATTCCCCAAAAAATTAAAAATCCAAGATCATTTCACAAATATTCTTGAATTTGAATGAAGTTATGCTCAACTGATTTGAAAAAATCACAAGGGAGGCAATGTTTTAGTATGTAGGCATAATTTCAAATTGTGAACAACTTTACATGAATAAATTTTGCTGAATTTTTTGAAATAAGGAAAATAAGGCACAATTTTTATATTTTTTGACCTACCTTGTATGCTGGTTGACTGACAACCATTCTAAGTGAACCTAATATGATTATCGATTATGCAAAAACTTTTGGCAATATTTCTATTTGGGTTGTGGAGTTAACTAAAAAACTTCCCATATATGACCACACTGTATAAATAAATCAAAACATCGGGTCTTACATTACGCCATTACCACAATAATCTTCGCCGCTACCATTTGCTTACTCATGAAAAATTCAAAATCCTGTTTAGTGGTTGAATCGCCCGGAATTCAGTAGTAGTGCCCATTCTCATTCAGTATGCAAATCCACTAATTGTGTGCACTTTGCGGCTCCTGACGCGAGTCTTGGCATCAACCGCAATTAATTTTCTTGAAATGTTTGAATTTCCATCAAAATACTTTTGCAAGATTGATGGGCATAATTTGAAAGACGGTTTATATAATTCGATTGCGGGTTCAGTCCTATGAAGTAATTCAATTTGAAGCTACCCAAAGTTTATTTTATCGGAAGCTAATGACGTAAAACATCTTCAAGTTTTATAATTGGCCGTTTGAGTTTATCCTCTCGAGTCTCATTATTGAAAAACAAATTATACGCAGAAACACGGTTCGTAACTGGGTATAATCCTGACTTAACAGTTCATTTTTTTTTTGTAAGTTATTTTTGGCAACTATCTTATTTCATAAGAATGAAGATTTCCATTATTTCATTTTTGTCTTGAGAATCGTAAATATGGGGTATTTCATTAAGCGCTTCCGATCTTTAGTTCCAAATGAAACAACGTGTGTGAGATATCATCGAAATTTTGTATTTGTTTGAAAGACCAATTGTGACCATCATGTGTAGAATATAACATTATTGAAATGTCTACCACGGCTTTTCTAAATGAAGCGCATCCGAAACGTCCAATTTTCCATGACTCTGGCACATATATCAGGCTGAAATCGACCGCATGGGCTATGTGGTTTGTGACTTATTCGCATACACCTACGACTTGAGAAAGAAAACTGGACCCGGATGCCTCCAGGTAGCCATAGCTGCATCAGTGGTCACTTTAGTAAAATCTCCAAGGCGAGGTGACCTATCCGAAACCACAAGTGTGGCTAGCTTGTGTTGATGGTTCCGTACATTTGTTCTGTTTCCTGCAACCAAGTGTTGCCTAAGCTTGCACTTGGCTATACCGTACTGATGACAGCTAATGACCCAGAAATACGTAGAAACACGACAAGAAAAAGTCTAACGGGGTCAAATCTCACGATCTGGGTGGCCAGTTCACATCATCTCTACGTGAGATGACAGTGCCCTCAAATCGCTCGTGAAGAATATCCAATGTTGCATGAGCTGTGTGTCATGTAGCGACATCCTGTTGAAACCACATGTCGTTGGTGTCCAGATCATCCCATCAGACCAAAAGAAAATGGTCTTAGAGTGCTCGTCGTAGACAGTGATGGCCTGGCCAACATCGTTCTCAAAGAAATATAGAATGATGACACTGCCAGCCCAAAATACACACCGAACAGTGATCTTTTTGTGTGCTCTTGAATCTCATGTGGCTTGGTATCGTCCCATAGTCGACAATTTTGTTTGTTCACGTACCCATTCATTCAGAAATAGGCCTCATCGCTGAATCAGTTGCCAACTGTTCCAGAGCTCATTCAGCGAACACACGTCGTTGTCTGTGGTCGCCTTCCTTCAGTTATTGGATCAGTTCGACTTTGTACGGGTACAGGCCCAAGTCATGACTATAAAATTCGCAAAGTTGAGGTTTGCAAAAGACCGAGTTTTTGTGAGCGACGCGAAATCGGCTGCCTCGGATTGTCTTGCACATTCTCACAGACAGCGGCGATGTTTTCGGTAGATCTTGCGTTTCGTTAACGTACGGGTGTTGGTCAATCGTTTACTGAATCAGTGGACTCGAATTTATCCACCACATTGCGAATATTCCTTTCGATCAGAATACCCATTTTGATGAAACAATTTTATTATTTGCACGTGTCTTGTTAAATTAATTAAAAGTACAAGTCTTGAGTTTGTGATTTGTTGAACCCAAGTGAAAGTTCTTTGTAGAACACATTTTTGCTAGTAATGAATAACCTGTAGATTGCCGTTAGGGGTATTTCAGTTTGATTAATATGATAGTATTATGAACAATTTGAATATTTTTTGCTTGGTATCATATCCATAGAGCGTATATGATATTTCCTGCAACCAAGGGTCTAACCTTGCACTTGGCTATACCGAACGGATGACAGCTAATAAGACAAAAACAAGTGTCAACACGTGTCTGCGGTTTGTATATTTTCGAAGTGCTTTGTCCACGAATTTCCCATTGTTTTATGTATATTGAATCCATTTACTGGACTATCATTTGTATCATATACTGGACCCGAACGTCACTCAAGTTCGATGTATGGCATGGCTGATGTCAAACATGCGCTTCAGGAAAATATAAGTTCAAATCGGAGAGCATGAATCTGAATATAATGAGATGAACCGGGGAGTTCCTCGGGGATCAATCTTGGGGCCGTTAATTTTTTTATTATTCATAAACGATCTACCTGACTATATCAGTTCAGATTCAGTAGTTCTCTATGCAGATGATACTACATTGGCCATTGATGCAGATATTGCCATAAGCAAAAAAGTGAACACAGGTTACTATGCTATATTGCAATTAAAAACTATGTTCAATACCAATCAACTCATGAATGTAATCTCTAATCTACTGCAACATATCCTATAACATCAACATCTGGAGACGCTACAGTAATTCAAGCAGAATATTTGTTTCCCAAAAAAGAATTATTCGACTCATTTTCAATCTGAAACCAGATGAATCGTGCCGACCATATTTTCAAAAATATAAAATTTTAACAGTTCCATGTATTTATGTTTTCAAATGTATAATGTTATTAATGCAACATGTTGAGATATATCAAACAGTTTCTCATTGCCATGGTTACCCAACTAGAAACGGAGACCTCATCAGAATTCCTCCACATAGCTCATCATTCTATGAAAAAAGCCCCTCATATAGAGGTATAAAGTTTTTTAATTTTCTTTCCGCAAACCTGAGAGAGCAACGGAACAAAAACATCTTCAAATCAAAATTGAAAGTACATTTGCAAGACAAATGTTACTATAGTATCAAAGAATTTCTTGATGCAAAATGAAAATGTGTTTGCTAATATGTATGAATATAAATGAAATGAATGTTTTCATGTATATGTGTACAAATCTATTGAATAATGATATTTTAATATTGTTGATTGTAAATTTATCTACAATCATACGGTTTTTTATTTGTGACGTATCCTATATCATGCTGTATGTGATCTGTAAGGATTGAATAAAGATTATTATTATTATATCAAATCCCCTACCCAAAGTAACATGTGTATCATAAACTGGACC